GAGAGAGAGAGAGAGAGAGAGAGAGAGAGAGAGAGAGAGAGAGAGAGAGAGAGAGAGAGAGAGAGAGAGAGAGAGAGAGACAACAAAATTACCAAATGCATTTACAATATACGTGAACTATTCTCAAAGTTGAACCAAAAGGTAAATAAATTAAAAACATTCTTTCGTATACAAAAAATCCTACAAGACAGTTAATTTTTGTGCTTCTAATGGCACTCCCGCCCTTCAAGAAGTAGTGCGTTCTTTCCTTCCCTATTGAATACGTGTTTCACATAAGCGAAGCAAAATTGACTCGTTGCGTTAATAACATTTGTAGTTCAAAGTTTCCTTCAGATGTCTGTTACTTTAAATAAGTTTTCATTTTACTTACTCTTAAATAACGTTCAGGAAAATAAAAGACTGATATGTTATTTTTACGCAACATATTTCGTTTCTTCCTTACATTTTAAATGCAATTTGAGAAGGTTTGTACACTTTCACTCGACAGATATTAGTCTAAACTTGAACAATTGATCAGGAGATAAAACCATCGAGAACGGAATTTCCAATCGAGGAACGTAGAATTGGAAACCGTTTCTACATCATTAGATAATGTATACATACATACAGAAACGATATATGAATACCTTTATTCATACAGCTCATTGCCAATATCCGCTTCAGGCGATAGAACGTTTGGCGAACGCTCCAGGGCACGTATGTCCAGCTCCGACTGCTCGAAATAGGTAACAAACATTGTTTCACTTTCGCTTGTCGTTCATCGGTGTGCCGTGGTGGAACTTATGAGTAATATTCAACCTTCTAAGAGATTAATTCGAAATCTCGATAGCTACTCACTCACTTCTACACTTGGATCACCTAAAAAAGTTTATATTAGGTTGTCCCGAAAGTTTCTTTCGTGACTTGCACTCAGTTGTTTCGTGTAGCAGTGTTTATATAAGTAAACAACCTAATTTCTTAGATGTTAATGTTGTAACAGTAATGGAGCAAAATGAACCGTACGCAATTTAATAATGTAACATTACACATAAGATATTGTGTATGTATTACTTGTTAATGAAATGGAAGAAACTTTTGGGACAACCTAATACTTATTTCTTCCTTCTCGTGTGTCTTTACAAAGCTATCGAGTAAAACGTTAATTCGACATAACTATTATTAGAGAAACTGCTAATGATTAATTTTCCAGTTGTCGTTATTAACACTATGCCGTTCGCAGATCAAATCGAGATTTTTTCATTTGACGACGATAGGACTGACTGATTTGTTTTTGCATGGTAAACAGTGGTGTCACCGGACGGCATAGTGTTAATAAACTTTGCATAAAAGTTATGAGTATACATTCATTAACTTTGTTATTAAATTGGAAACGTTTGGAAAGAAACATTAAGCTGTTTCAAATGTATGAGTTCCTTGACCAAATTCCGTTGCTTTATGATTGAAGATTTTGGCAAGAAGAATCCATTTTGATCTTGTACATATACATATATAGTATGTTAGTATATAAGAAACGCAATGACAAATTACATCATATTTATTACATTAACATAAATTTATTTAACATGCTAGATTAAGACTTTTGTACAGTATCGTATGTCACTGATTTCGAATTAAATGTTTTTATTATTGAGAAACCATTTTAGGTTCGTTAGAATTTGTTCGTTAGAATACGCTTCAACGTTGGTAAAGGTCCTTTTTAAATAGTGCTTATTTTTAATTGATACATGTAACCAACGTTATAGATAGATAGACAACTTATTTCTTGTAATTCTTACATGAGGAAGAACTTTTGCTTACATCATTTACGACTCATGAAAAGAAAAAGAAAAAAAAACATTAAACCTAAATTAGATGCGTCTGAAACAGAAACAACTAAAGCTAACTCTAAATTTGTAAATTCTGTAGCCTAGTACTCCTTTTATGCTCTGAATGTTATAGATGAATAAAGTTTAGTAATTTTCGACTCTAAAAGTTGAATGATTTTTGGATCATATTTAGAGATAAAAGTATTCCACATAAAATTTAAACATTAATTGTGAAGCTAAATCCTGTTTTTGGTCTTTTTTCAATTTGAAAATTATTCGAATTAGTTTAATTTTTAAAGATCAAGGTTTTTACATGTGTACACATATTTACCTACGTTTGATCAAGCAATTGTTAACTGGAATTCTTTAACTACATATAAATGATTGCACATGAAATGATACATAAAGTGTTATCTGTAGAATTCATATTTTTATGCGTTTATAGGAAATGTGAATGTCCAAGGAACTACAAAAATAATATAAATAATATAAAAAAATATTGAAAGTAAAGTTCATATTATAATATTTTCAAAGTAATATAAATTCTTATTTAGGTTCAATTTTTGTAGGTACATTTGCAAAGATTTTATTTTTCATAAAAATCCGTAGTCTAGTTATCTGCGATTAAGTACAATATGATAATAAAACACTGTAAAACTGTCGTTTACTTACGTAATGCTTATTAATGCATTAATTTCTAATAATATTAGAAAATCTACGCGCGTATTAATTCAAGGGTCTATGGTGCAAGAGTAACATGTCCCCATCCAAAAGATTAATGTACATTTTATGATAAATACATTGTACTATTTCCATTGTAATATGCATATCTCATCGTTACAAATATTATTCTCGGCGGGTTTTTGCATTCTGCTTATGTTACGAGCCTTTTAAAAGGTTGCCTTTTGAAATATCGCCTCGAGGTAGGCAAATACTTGAAGCACATATCGAGCACTAAATACAGGCTATTCACAAAGTGATTTCGAATGAAACTAAATATAGAATTTTATTTTTTCAATTTCTCGAGGTTTCCAGTCTCGAAATTTACCAGAAACATTCAAATACATTTCTGACATTAAAAGCACAAATACACACATACATATTTATATGCGATCATATTTAAAACAAATACTATGACAAATATGATCAAGACAATTATAATTTATTTTAATTAAATGTTTCGAAAGTCTGACACAGCGTTCAATTTTATATTAATTCCTTATTGATTGTAGGTACGGTTATCTTCCATTCAAACATAAGTTATGCATGTCACATACTATAATTTTATTTGTACATTTTTGAGTATAAACAGACTGTAAACTTGACTGTATTTTGAATAAAGATTTTTATTTCTTAATCAATTACTTCGATCAATGGTGTAAATTTATTCATTTACAAAAATGAAGTTTGATGTTTTTTTCACCCTTTCTTTTATATTTTATTTGTTGAACTAAGTAAGTAAGAAAAGGTTTTTTTCATAAATTTTGTATTGCCATTTCTAACTATCGAAAAATTATAAAAAATTACCATCAATAGATCCGGAAAAGATTAAATTTTAATAAAAAAAAAATAAAAACAATCGATTTTTATTTTTGAAAAATGTGCAGTGCCCCCTTAATACAAATTCGACAATGCAATACACACAACTAAAATTGTTTCTAACTCTAACGAAATTAATATGTTCACTAACAATGTTTATAATCAATTTGGTAATCTTCAATTCTTTGTTCAAGTCCTAATCATAAATTTTAAACAAAGAACTCAGTAATTATTTTCTTTAATACTTTGTATAGATGGTTCAAACCATAAACTGAATGAACGTTATCTGAAAATTGTAGTAATCACCAGTAATAACGTATCGCGGAGCACAAATTGGATATCGATAGTCGTACGTATGTACTTCATGTTCGTAATTACAAGGAAAGGCAGTGAATGCGCAACCATTATCATATACAAGCTGGTCAATAACGTTACAAAAGAAAGGGCGTTGGTTGTAGACAGTCTATAGTAATCTATACAACTTGCGCAATATACGAAGCCATATACATAAGAGGGTTATGCGCTGATCCACCAAATACTTTTACGTAAATGTTAATCCAATTTTTGTGTACACAATACTGCCGACTTTCTTGGCTTTTGCTCTGTATTATAAAGAGACACCTTTATCATCGGTGACGTTTGAAGACGAATCTTTTTATGGTGTTTCTTTAAATATATGAAATAGGTGACAAGTGCTTATATTAGATTTAGAAATGAATTCTATGTCCTTATATATGATCGTTCGTAATAAATTGAGTAAAAATATTTACTCGACATTTTCTTACGCTAAATTACCAACCTTCTAAGTTCCCAACCTGATTTCCATTATAATGAATCTATATACATGTAAGTTTCAACCCTGATGGGTATTACGACTTATTGTTGTTCTTCTAACCGATTACAATTGTGCTCGATAATTGTTACATGGGGAAATTATTTTTTTTTATTTATAACTCTAGTTTAAGTAGAAATATTTATCCGCTATTTTGCTACATTAAAATATCAACAAACTAATGAATCAAACAGATTGCTTTGAAATTTGGTTTTAGAACTTTATGTGCTCACTTTGAATGTGTGATTTAGGGAAGATTAAAACTTGTGTGATTTTTCTTTATAAATAAATGGTACGTTTACCTTGAAAATGCACAGAGATTATTTGTACACTTAATATATTTATAAAGAATACACTTAGAGAATACAATTCTACGCTTAGTATTTTAAAAGGAATAATTTGTGTCTGGAATACTGAAAAATAAGTTAGTCATATTTTATATTTTCAATGTTAGTGTTAAATTCTAATGTAAATATAAAAAAATTTAATTTGTCTTATTCTCATTTGAACATCGTATAGAATAAACGAGACTCTTTTGTATGTTTAAAAACAATCAATATCTAATAAGTTTAATATACAATAAAATATTATTTACAATTATTTTAATTGTTATTTTTTTATGAAACGGTTTAAAATAATTATTCAAAGCGAAAAAGATAACGAAATGGTTTCAATATACAAAATTACTATTGTTTCAAATAAATTGATATTTCTTTTAATGCCAAATGAAATACTGAAGTACTATTTTAAATTGACTTCTCATATTTCCTGTTTTTTTACAAAGTTCCTTCAATTCTAAACATTGTCTAGCTATTAATTCTATTATGAAAACTCATTGTAATCTCTGTAACCTCTCTAAATATTGATGTAAAATGTGGCAAAATACAATTATTGGACTTCGTGGTAATGGTTATCACGTTATTCTTACAAAAAGAAAAGTTTAATATTTTGAACTTGTTTGTTGAACCGTTTGTAAAATGATTATCATTACATTTACTAGGCATTAATTTGTTACTTGCCATTAATTTCAAATGCCATGATTAATCATTTGATAATTCGGTCATTAACGTGAGTCTTTATCGTACAACATTAAATGTTGTCCCAAAGAAGTCACAAAACCGTATAGGGCGAAACATTGACGTTTCTGCTACTTCAGTCACTTTGAAAGGCTAAAAAGAATACTGTTCTGGAAAGTTCCATATTACACTATCCCAAATAAAATTGCAAACCATTAAAAGAGGAATACAAATTCGCCACTTCCAAACACTTGTTACTTCCAAACATGGGACGTTAAACATAATTTAATTTACACGTCGAACAAGTGTCTGTGCATTATTTTAATGAAATGAAATGAAATTATAATATGAAATTACAATAAGTACTAATATGAAATTATAATAATTATAATGATATACTAAAATGTTTCAAGTTAATCTATGTAAAAAAAGCGCATTAAGATGTTAAGCAATATGTTAATATGTTCATGTAACGTATATGCTATATAAACCATATTCGGTTTAAAACCAATAAATAAAT